TGAAACAGAGAGGCAGAAAGTCGAGGAGGCGGGGAGAGTCGGTAGCGCACTGGAGCGGCAGATCTCATTGTTATAAACCGAGATGACTTGGAAAGACCAGTACGAGTACTAGTCGATCCGGGTTACTCGGGTTGGAGGCTGGCTGGCAGTAAAATGATGACGAGGGCCGTGCTTTTGAAGGGCCGAGGCGAGGTGGGCGGACAGAACACTTGTTTTACACCAAGTTGTACCGCGCCTGTCACCGACTCACGCCCTTCTTCCGACTCACGTCTTTCTGTCCCCGTCTCGCACGTTTCATCTCCCTTGACTAGACGCAGGTCCCGCATCGCTTCTGCATTTCCTCTTTCGTGATCCTCTCGATCCCCCCTCCTCCCTCCGTTCGCACGTCCCTACCTGCCATTCTTCTTGAGCTTTTCACCACCGTCCTGATGACACGTCGTTACTCCCGTGGACTCGTCACACGTCACCTTCCTTGACTCTGCGCTCGGACCCTCTATTTTGTCGCCCTAGCACTCAATATTCTCCGATGCATCTTTTGTTCCCCACTCGTACTCTCGTTTGTCTCTCCGATAGTGCTAGGACCTCCTCATCAGGTACGCTCACACCACACGCCATGCCTACACCACGCCCTTTTGTCTCTACGCCCGAGTAGTGGCGAAAGAATTAAGAATTCTGATTATCCGCGGTACCATCAGCGGGCGTTTACCTCTGCGCTCCTCCCTCTCGCACCCTGCTGTCTGCCGTCACTCATCCGCCTTCACGCGCCTGACATGTACCCGCAGCGCACTGCTTCCCGATCAAGTGCCCTCAGCCGGATTGTTCTCGTCAAACGTTGTCCTTCATCTAGCTACGCCCTTGACGATTGTTCGTTGACCGTGGAGAATGAGGTGTTGCAGTTTGGAGTCGAGGGTAGGCGACGGTTTTAAGATATAGCACGTCCATACAAGCAGGAGAGCATCGACTGAGGGAGTGTTGTTGTTGAGAATATACTAACCAGAAGGAGAGCCCGAGACCGAAGCAGAGAGGGAGAAAGTCGAGGAGGCGGGGGTGGCGTACGAGGGCTGCAGATCTCGTGGTTGATCCGGGAACGCTAGATCCTCGCAAGCCCGTACTGGACGGCGCGGTGGAAAAGTGCGTGCATCGGTGCTGGGAGACTGAGTTGGGAGTTGCAGTTTGGAAAGGACGATAGGGAAGGCTTTAAAATA